ATCTGGGCTACACAGTGAACGCTCTTTCAATTTTTTCGCTGGCGTTCTTGACGCTAGTGAGCCTGAGCGCATAGTGAGTTAGGCATATCCAGTTCCACTTGCCATTTACATGCAACTGACCTTATCACAAATTACAGCTGGCCAGGCCTACGTTCTAGCCATGTACTCGCTTTACTGACGGGCTACGCCATGCCAACTCGAGACCTTGTCAGTCTGTCGCACAAACTCAGCCTACTGCTCTTTTATACCGTGTTTACGATATTCTCCAACCAAGAAGTCTCGGGCCGCTTCTGTAGATTTTTTGGAGCTGTATCCTACTGGCTGCTACTATGGTGAGTTTTGTGAGTTTTATCGAATTGCCGTTGCTCTTGATATGAAACCCTTACAACCGAGGTTGTCTTAAGTCTACGCTCTCCCCTTCGTGATATTGTGACCAGGCGAGAATTTCAAACAGCGTATTTCCTCAGCTTATGGAAGCGAATGTATTTCTTCAGTTTCAACTTGTACTTTTGCGTCAACTGAGACGAACCGTTTTTGCATGCAAGTTGTACGATTCTCTTTCATTTTCGGTAATAAAATGAACATAGAGAAGCGCTGAGTGTTTGAAAATGTAGACTCATGTCTGCACTTGAGAAGGCCGAGAGTTTGTTTCTTATCGCGGCGAAAATTTGCTGAAGTGGCGCCATTACCAGTTTCATGTCCAGGTCGACAGGCCGTCTGATTAAGAAACCCGTGACAACAAATATTTTTAGTGAAACCAAACATAGAAATAAAATGAAGAAGCGCGCATACCTTCCGTCCGAGTTCTACGGAGAGTATGCGAGGGTTGAGGGGGGTCGGGAAAAAAAACAAACATAGGGGTAGACTCGAGTTGGATTCGGAAATGTGGCTCCGGGACGATGTAGTCCAAAAGATTGTGAGGCAGAAGAAACATGACATAATGCATGTGGAGTCCTGTCGAGGTCATGCGCAGGTGTGAAGACTACATCGACAGATTCTCAATAGTTTGTCTGTAGAGGAAGTCCACTAACAGAAACGACAGATGGCCCCATCGCAGCATGGACAGAAAGTCAAGCAGTAGGGAAGACGAAGGCTTTGAAAGCGGTAGGCTCTGATGGGATACATGAAATGCGCTCGGAAAGCACGCGATTGTGTGGTCAACAAACCCCTCATGCCGTGACTGCTGAGAGGATCTCAGATCCGTAGAGAAGCAGCATTGTCGTTCCATCTCTAAGCAGAAGTATCGCAACTATTGTGGAATACGGATTACAGCGCGTACCGAGAAGCGACTAGTCAACTTAGGATTAGGGAAATGTCCCCATCTCACAGGAACAATGCGGCTTTATATGTGAATAAAAGCCTGAACCTGACTTCCACGTACTGTAAAGGGCGCTTGACAGTGAAAAATTGTTCGTAGAGCGCTCCGAACACATTTTGCCGGAATATCTGATCTCCGTGGTCATGTATAATGGCTCCGTGACAATTATACGCACAACTCGCGGCTTCACAAAAGGTCGGTTCATCAAATCCCAGCTCTAAGCTCCTCCATCTTCCTGATATTACTGGAGTCATCACTGGACTCGTTGAGGGATCAATAGAGACAATCTTATACGTTGATGACATCGCTCTAGAAGCAGAGAGTAGAGCTCCAGGACAAGGTGAGAAAATGCAAGATGCCCAGGTAGAGAATTGAGAAATTTGGCTAGACGTGAAAAAGATCGAGTTTCTTGGCACCAGCTCTGACGGTAGCTTACAGGCTGTCAAGTAGGAAACGAATCAATGCAGCATGGATGAAGTGAAGACTCCAGTGGCACCCGTGATCGATTTACAGCTGTAGTGTTCGCCATTAGATAGGGATCATGGAAGATGAGCGCGGGCATGTAAGCAGGTCTTATGTTGTGTACCATTCTGTGCTTGCGATATGCAGCCCGAACATCTGTGTGTTTCATTCCCCCATTTCTACTTCCGAAACAGTAGAGAGAATATCGTTCGCGTTTTGAAGCGGAGATTTCGAGTGGCGTGTGGTGTATAGACTTCCTCTCCTTCTACGTTAGCAGTATGTCCCTAGCTGCCGGAAGGATTGAATTCAAAGTTCACTGCGTATGACCATGAGAACGAGATGACCTGCAATCTGCTCGATGATCCATTCCTAGCTCCTACGAAAACTGCCTGATGGATGCTATGTCATTCATTTTCGAACCACGCGCCTCCTCAACGTTTGAAGATCCTTGCGGCCTAGTATTTTCACGCTCACAATTACTTTCCTCACTATTATGTTCAGGTACATTCAACTCATAAATGTAGTTTGTTGACACTAACGTCAATTACAGCTCCGTGATTCTGACGATATTTCAAGCGCTACGTCTCACAGCTGTAATTGGCTCTATTCGTACATGGATACATCTGATTCTTGCACCATCGTCATCAGTCACCTTCAGTTTTTGTGAGTGGAATGATTTTTTTCTTTCGCTCTGAGCGCATCAACTTATCAAAGAATATTAGTGCTGACACAAGAAGTGAGCAAATAACAGTGTTCTTCAATCTGAGATTTTCACTTTGGTGAATTCAGAAAATGCCCACGGCTATCGCCAATGCTGTTTCATCATTGACACAGACACTGTTGCTATTAACAATGCCTAGCCATTTAGTTTGAAGGTCTATTGTAGGGGAGTGGTGGTATTTACCGACTTCCCAAGGTGAGCGGCAGTGGTTTTTCGGCGTCTACCATACCGTCCTCCTACGAAAATTCAAGCCTTCCCCTCTATAGTGAGCCGGACGGGAGTGGCAAACTCGTCTTTCGGGGAAGGTACCAACACCCATTACAAAGTAGTGAAGATTGGCGCCGGAGCGGCATACTACTACTCACGCCGCGCCAGCACTCCGAAATAAAAGCCCTTGGGACTGTGCACCGCATAGGATTGCAAATTTGCCTTCTGCTTCCTTTTCAAGGATTATTGCACAGCCCTTTCACTCTCTTCCGAGGGAAAAATGGGGATGTGTTTCTCACATAATGTTCGCGAATCCGAATCGAAAGGTTAGCAGCCGAATAGGTAGTCGATTAGCCGATTATTATTTTTGGCGTAATTCTACTATTACTTCTCCTGCCCATGTATTCCTTATTCGCTGCGTTGCTTCTGCCTCATTCTCTTACACTCCTTCGTATGCGACTTCGAAGCGAAACGACCACTTTGGTTCAACTACACCTTTCTCATCCAATTCCTCCTAAACAGTAAGGCTACCTTATTATCGGTCCCATTTCGGATGACGGCCTTGGTTTGGAGGGGTAGGTTGCGCTTGATCGTTATAAAATAAGAAGCAACGGAAATTCTGTTAGTTTGTGTGAATTTGTCAGAAACGCGCGGTGAAGGATAAACTTCCTAAATGTCAATGAATCCATTTTCGAAGGCGACGATGCGGTCTTCCATCCAGGGTCATAGAGGCCTTTCGAGTGCTTAGATGGTTCTGCAATGTCTTGCGGTGCGCTACCGATGTACATACAAGCGCTGCTTTTTTCGTTTCAGACGAGTCTGGTACCAACTAACCGACTCAGTAGGAAGAAAGGCCCGGTTGCCTTGTGCGGATGCCGATACGAGGCTAAGTTCTCTACCATATGTACGTCGCCAGTTGCCACTACACCTCGGGCCCATCATGCTTAATAATCGTCAGAAGTCACAAGAAAGGGAATGCAAGTACTAGGGCGTCGAAAGTTTTGAGATGACTCAGTCGGTTCATTCAACACAAAATAACTAAAGCAATAAACTTAGATCATTGATCAAGAGAGTAGCCCGCTCAGTCGCAATGCCTATCCATCAACCGGACAGGGCATTGTTGCCATTCCTCCAATATTAAGCGCTGCTTGACGCATTCATTCATCTACCACCTACTTACTTCTCGAAAGATGAAGAACTTTTTCCCTGTAGAGCAGGACTATGGGTTTCTGGAAGTAGGACTTTCTCGGATGGGGTGATCGAGCATTATTCATCACAACCAAAAATTACCCTATAAGCAGTGTACATAAAATGGGGGCTCGAAACACCATCTCCCTCAGTCGATCGGTAACAGAATACTCTTGCGTTTACCGCAGCACACTCTGGTAAAATGTTCTCGTAAAATACCCGATTTAGCAGAGGAAGAATGAGCTCGAGTCCTTGTTGGTGTATGCGCCTCGCTCTGTGGCTTCACTTCCAAGGGTAGACATAACGATTTTCTGTGTGGGTTTTCATATGACTGCCGCTTCTCATCTTGAGCAATAATGAAGTTGATTAAAGAGACGTTCGCTCACAGTCGAACAGCTTCTAAGAAACAATGACTCGCGCTCGACGTCCTGCTCAGTCATGAAGTAAACGATTTTTGCAAAGAATCCTACTTTGGAGGTGACTTTTTCGTAGAACGTCGTGGTTGATGGATTGGAGAGTAGAGATGGTCCTTTCTATTTCCTGAAACTTCAAGGAGGATTGCTTTGCGGGTGTTCAAAACAGTGTCGATATTTGAGGACAGTGGACGTTTGCTTCGACAAACTTCGTCGAAGCAAATCTCCTTTGAGAGGAAGCGATTATGCCATTCATGGTAGGTGACAAAAGAGGGTCACTTCTTCCAATAAGTTATCATCTCTCATACCAAGCCTCAGTGTTGAAGCGATCAATTTTGAAATAGTGAAGCAGAAGACTCCGGTTGTGATATGGCACATCGTTCGGTCAACGATTACCTACTTCAAACGACCACGTCAAATAGCGAAATGATCTATCAGCAATCTCTGCAGCTGAAGCATGGTCGCGAGCAACATACTTTCAAATTGAGAATCTTCTCAAAACTTTCTGGTTGCCCTCACAAATAAAGTAAACTGTGCGGTATTTTTTCAGTTTCTTGATGACCCGTAGTGACATTTGTATTGCATCCAGAATCAGAAACAGAGAGGGTTGAATCATGTATAAGTTCCTATATGACAGAAACCACCATTGTCAGACATTCACTTCAAGATAGCTCCAAAGTTCTCCCTTCAGATGAAAGAATCGATTTCAGTGGTCCCATTTGTGGTATCGGTGTTGCTGCTAGTTCTAACTAATTTCTACGACCGTGGCGACTGTTTTTGCTGGGTTAGGCCGGACTACATTATTTATGCTGTCATCATTCCGATTTCTTTCCTTGTCCTGAATGGTATTGTATGCACAGTTCTCGTCTGTGAGCGAATATTTCTATTTAAGAGGAAGCTGAGCAAGTCGGTGGGTTTTCAAAATACTTTTCGTAGCTTTGCGCATATTCACAACGGTTGGAGTGCACTGCTGACCCACCATTCTTCTTTCCGAAACTAACAACTCATTTTTGAAGGAACACTTCAATGATTTAGTTTGATAATGAATTTTATGGAATAGTTCCTGTGATTTCCCACTAGAATGAATCTGATTTGAGGCCCCCAACTACAGTACACGGGCAGTCGTTGGCACGAAAAAACAGCAGAATTATGGTCAAAGTTTTGTGCCATTGTTCGTTCATTTATTGTTACCACTTTCAGGTGAGATATCAAGATCGGCAACTTTTGTCTAAAGTAGTTGCAGTATTTCTCATGCAAATCTCACTAGGAATGCCATGGGTAAGTCAAACTTGTATTCGTATGAAAAAAAAAAGAAAGCTCTCGACTTCTCAAAGTTTCGACAGAATTATGGAATATTAAAAGAGTGGAGCCGTTTTCTCATTTCACACATGGAAGACGGTAGAGAAACAGTAGCACAAAAGAATTGGCGCAGTCACCTTGTGGAATCTTGCGTTAGGAGACTTTCGCTGTGCTAATAGAACATTTTTTATCAGAAGTACAGTCTTAAAGTGACTTTCGTGACAGTCTGCTTGCTCCACCTGTGACTTACAAATCCAGCTAGATTTTATGTAAACTAATGAGCAGCGTCAAGTGTACTGTCTGATCACTTTGGATAATCTTGAACTCGCCACTTTCTGAACGTAAATGAGAGCATGGCTCAAGGTATCCAGAACTTCCAGTAATTCCCGTCACTATTCCTGATGTTTTTGCAATCCATATCAAAATACTGGTTTGGTGGGGTTATGTCAGCTCCGTAGCCGCTGACACTCTCTTACAGATGGGACATACATGTGACACGGGCAGCGTGAAAATCTTATAAACGTTTGATTCCAAGACACATCAAGCGTTACCATTTGCAAGAAGCTTGGTGTACCTTGAGCTTTTATTTACATTTTTACAGGTCCTCCAGTACCTTACACTATACTCCCCATACACTACCTTATGGCATTATGTATTCACTATTGTCATGGGATCTCAAGGAACTATACTCGCATTACTATTTCTATATAAAAGAAGACGTTCCATGATCTCCTATCGTCGATCGCATCATATGACGCAAGAGCCATCACGGAAAGAAACGACAACATCCTAACGATAGGGAAATTGTATATCAACAAATTTTTCTATTGTACAGATCTTTCAAAGCGGCAAATTGGTCAGCAAATATAACTGTAACCTCATTCATTATTTTCCATTCTTTCTTCCCTTATCTATACATATTTTTGAGCAAGCTGACTGATTTCTTGTTTTTCTCACGGAAGAGTATGAGCATTAATTTCGCATAAGTTCAAGGCTAATTGAAGTCGATACGCTTTGTTGTCAGAGCTTTTTCTTCTACTACTTTCTTTTTTGAAGGCACAGTTCACGATGAGAACAGTTTTTGATGTTTGTCCCTCGGATAAATCCTTGGCCCCACCCCTTATATGCAACTAATTTCCCTCATTCTCGTCCACCCTGATTTGACTACTTTTATGAACCATGATACCTTATCTGAATACGCCGACTTTCGCGTTTCCATCGCCACTTTTACACTACTTTGGAATATGACTTCCATTATTCGACTAGTGGAGGTGATATTCTAGAAGGGGTCCAAAACTAGTTACCCCAAAATAATCGTGAAGTGTGCCTTTACGTGGTGATTATGCCAGTGTTGATTTGTTTCGTCGTTGCAGGTTGCAAAATGAATAATATTTGCTGGTACATGTATTATTTATTTACTTATTTATTTGCTTATTAAAATACATCCAAGGGTAACCCATACAACACAAGGGCATGAGTTACCAGGCGATGGTCCTCTGTCAGCAAATAAAAAGGAGAAAAGATCAAAGCAAGAAAATCTGAGGGTGAAGCCTAAGATTGGCAGGGTACCTACCTCAACAGAGGAAAGGGGGTAGAGGAGAAAGAAACGGAGAAAGCAGCAGGAAAGTCGCATGAAGGAGCCTTTGTAGAACCCACTAACACTACCTTTCCTTTGCAAACAGAAGGCCGTTCTCCTTGTGAAAACAGTTTCTCCAAAAGATCCTAGCCCCCGTTTAAACTGCTTAGAGAATCAGCAGTACTGGGGCTTTCTGAAATCTCAGCCCGATAGAAACGCATCGGTTTGGGATTCCAGGCACGTAGATTATGCATGGCAATTATTTATAAGTGAAGTGTCATTACTTAACCATGTTTCTTAGAGCTCTTCATAGCAATACCGATAGACACTTATTACTATTGTTGACGAAATATTTTTGTATTTCTAGTCGTTTAACTGGACTTTTTTTTGAGAAGTGTGAATACCGATGAAAGGGACATTTCTGTGGCGGCCGGTCATATGACTACATTCGAAAGTAGCCTTCTAGTTGATGGTCTTATTGCATTCACATGATAACAATACCGATTGAAAAAAATTGCTGAAAAACCTGGCTCCCTTGTACGCTTTGCACAAGTAAGGTAAGCTTTGTATGAGTAAATCTAAGAGCAATCTAAAATTCTGAGGAAAAACAGGATTCATTTGAAATAAAGGTAGGTACCTCTCTCGTTTTACCGTTGGTGGAGCCTCAGCTAATTGTTCGATTTCAGTCAGCAGCTTTCTTTCGAGGTCACTTCTAGCTTGATTCGCTGGCCGCCTTAAACATAACCTCTTAAATTATATGAATAACTAATATTATATCTGTGGAAATTGTAAAACTCAGAATTTAAATCAAGCAAATGGGACACAACCTTCAAGACTGTTTGACTCTGTGGACAATTTATGGATATGAAGGTGTGGTATAACCTCGGCCAAGATCTTTATTCAGTCAACGTTTCGGCGATACTTTTTTTGATTCACGGATACTTTTTTAGAATTTACTTTTACTACCTGCAGTGAAAACAACCTGCATACCCGTTTCCACAGGAAGCATTAAAAGTGTAAAAGTGTTAATGTATATTCTCGAAAACAGGTCTTCATTCCTGTCGGTCCAAATGTGCAGCTGATGATACAAGAATTTTTGCCAATAGCTCATTCTAGCGCCAAGGGGATGTTGCCGAGTAGCTCATCAAAATAAACCAAAGAATTTTACCTTCCGTTTAGAACACCATCCCCGGTGGACTGACTGTTGAAAGAGATGTGGGAAGCTGGAAGAAAACCAGTGAGCTCCGATTCGTCGCCTCCAACCTGTAGCGATACTATAATTATTGACGATTTGCAGAATATTGAGCGTTTTCTAAACGAAGGTCAACAATAATGAGAACTTGTAGGGAACGAAATTTTTTTCACCACACAAGTAGTTTTGGAAGTTGCGCCTTCCTGCTGAGAAGCTTTCGCGTTTAGGTGAGCTTTAGCAAACAGACCCAATAAAGCTTATTTTTCAACAACTCTTCTTTATTTGCTTAACATTTCGAACGCTGACGCATGCTTTTATGTGTAAAGTTGATCACACTGATAGATCTATGGAGTTAAGGTTGCTATTGAAGGTTATGAAGTTGGGAACCTCCTTTTACGAAATTTCTGGACAATTTCTGATATGCGGTTAGGAGCTTCTTGACAATTTGTCCGTTTCGAATCGATAAAATGTCCTATCGCGCACGGCGAGATCAAACAGATTTTTAAATCAACTTTCCATGAATAATCAGTATTTCTGAATCGGCGTTAATGCTCGCGAAGGCCGTCGCAAAGGCCTTCCACGATGGAGGTGAGCAGTAGCAGAAAGTCAGCGAGCCCAGTGCTAATTACTTTCATTTCTTCCAGCTTCATATAAATCTTGTCGCCCTGCTTACTAAGCATCTTTTTCACCGTGAATATCTTTTCGTCGAGGAACAGATATTTCAACAAAGATTTCTCGGGAACGACGCACCAGCTTCTGTGAGTCGTCTCTCTTTTCTTTAGCCTGCTCATTTTGGGAATCACTTCTGATCGATAAGTCTTCTTGTGCAGATGATACTTCACGATTTTACGCAGAAAACTTAATGAGATAACCATCCTCTCGCTATTTCGTGAGGGAATTTTCACTGCTACGTAGACCTTCGCAATGCTTCCTTAACTTTTCTCTTAAACGTGGTGTCCATACCATAAGCGTCCTATGTCCACTCTCTCTATCTGCAGTAGTTTCCAACTTTCGAGAGCGTCTTATGGTTGGACATACCATCTGTCTTGTTACATTGAGTCATCTGTAGATGTCCCGTGCCAAAATTACTTGTAAATACAAAGCGATGATTGATTCACGGGGTAGTGACGCTTTTACAATTTCTAAAATCTGTCAAAATTTCGGTACCACTGGGAGGAAATGATGTAATCTTCCTCGTGAAATGGAAGAAACCGTGTTATAAACTCGAAAAAAACATGATATTAGCGTCAGTGCGCGCTGTCACCATAATTTTGGCCCACTCTCTACACTATACCAGCTACTAAGCAGTCCCCTCAATAGGCACACGGAGGCGAAGTGCAATGGCTGTCATACAAGCTACCTCGGCCTAGTCGTTGTTTGAGATTCAAGGAGGAGTTTCTGGCAACCCTAAGCATGTTTCGAAGGCCTGCCATTCTAGATTATAATCGCACAGTGTACTCCATAATAAAACACAGAATAAATTTTTTGCATCCAATCTTCACGACGATTACATGCCACCATTCTTTGTCTGTGTTCAAACGGGAAGTAAAAGCAACAAAAAAGGAAAAACGCCAGAATGCAAGCAACAAAAAAGGAAAAACGCCAAGATTCATCGAGAGTCGAAGTAGGATATTGAGCGCGATGTTAATTTCAGTAACCAAGCCTATTGACAGTTTGTGAGGACTCGTGATGTTGTGTTTCATTAGGACTCGTGATGTTGTGTTTCATTATAAAAATGCGAATGGGAACAAGTGGATGGCAGGGGATCAAGACTCTCTCGTTACCTCTCCCGTTATTTCTCTAGCCCCTCTCCTCACTTTCCATTTTCCATGCACTCCTTTTTCGACTGGATTACATGCTGCCCTTTTTCATGAGATCATACCAGAAATTTAGTCTCAGAACAGCAGAAAAGATAGAATATTAGCGAAAACACGATTACCTCGTGATCTTGCAACTTCGCAAGCCGCTCTGCTTCCAACCTCTGGCGTTCCAGCTCCCACTGCAAGAGCGCTTGCTCGTCCCTAAACGAATAAGGCGACTGCAGTATTAGTAGGTATAGTGCGAGTCATCACATCTTAGATTGAAGTGAAGGCAAAATGAAGCTCGATTAGTAGAAAATTATTTTTTTTTAAAGATTTGGAGCATTCTTTATAGGTTCTCATGAAACTTTTTGCTCATTGGATGGCGAGTAGGAAGCTTGATTTTTTGAGAGTGGGCTACACATTTAATGAAGATTTCACAAAAACACTATCAATGGTAGTTGTAATGATTCAGGCAGTGCACTTACTCTCGGCTGATTTTTCTATGCTGCGGCAATGTAACTCGCGGCCGAGCAGACTGGTGCCACGACTCCGACATTTGGCCGAATGGGCCACCTCCCGACGGCACTTGCTGATCCCATTGGGCGAATTGAGGAGCTTCCTGCAACATATTACATATTTAGATTTTGGCTCGGAGATGTGAACAATATCTCAGTGCTCATATTACCTACTGAAAGGATTCGCTTTAGAATAGCAGAATATAGAAAGTTCCCACCTTAACCATAGACTCTGCTTCGGCTCGCCGTCGGGGCTCATCGATGAATTGATTAAATGTTTCCTTCACAGTATCTGAAGGGAATCAGGAAATTATAATATATGTATATATGTCATATAAAGTGGACTGAGTGGCTGCTTTCATAGTGGGGCTTGCCACTCGTTTACAACTGAATAGTGATTGACACCGCAGGCCGAGTAGTCCCCCGGTCGGCGCGCGCTCGCGGGCTCGCCTGCGGACTATGAAAGCAGCCAGTGATAGAAACCTGTGTTGGGCGAACCAAACAGACTTCCTACGCTGATCGAACCCTTGAAAAGTAATAAGACTTCAAATCACCAAGCGTCTTATAGGCAACGTTATAGTTGCTAATGATCAAAATAACTATAAAATCACTGATTTATGTGTATTTTTCAAAAATAATAATGTGAAAATGCTCCACCTATTGCCAACATGGTGAATCAACCAAGTAAACTGACGTCTTGAGGGTACGCCTTATTGGCAGATTAGAGTTGCTTAAAATTAGGTTAGATTTTTCGGGAGTTAAGTAGATTTAAAGCATGATAAAGGATTCTGTTTCTTGGAAGTACGCATAGCCATCCATATATTATAACTGAATAGTATGTACATGGCACGGAAACTAGCAAAAACACTTCTCGTCAAAAGCTGTCTTTCGGTGGTGCTAGTAGTGTCGGGACAGGAAGCTCCTAAGCAATGCCATTGATCACTCTGATCTGTCCCATCACGTTATCACAGCTTGCCATTCTTACAATTCATGCCTCTTCTTTCTGGTGAGTACGTATCACTCATCCTCTCCAACCAAGCACCATCCTACTCCCTCGGGAGACGGACAACAGGATCGGTCTTGTGTAATCGATTCGTCGCGCGCTGCGGTCACCTCGGTATTACAGTTTTCACGTTCTTCATACAGCACAATCAATATGCGATTATTATTTTCGGCATGATTCTAATGTTAGTTTTTTTGTTCCTGTATTTCTGACTTGCTGCTGCATTCTACTACGTTCCTTCGCACGCGGCGTCTCTCTCGCTTAGACGCGACAATCTCGATCCTAATGCACCACACCCTACTTCCTCGCATTATACTTTAGCCAGTGGCCTATATTGTGTCTTTTTCGATGACTCCTCACGATGGAGTGCAACAATAAACCTTTCTACAGGTCTAACACTTCTCTTCCAGTTCATTGAACTGCGACTCTCCCTTCATCATACAATTTATCAATTCAGAAAGTCAACCTCACCAGAAACACGATCCTTCACATTTTCCGCAAGTTTGACGGCGTCAGTTTTCATTTCTAAATTTTGAAATTATTCATAACATTAGGAAAAACTCAGAATTAGCAATGCAAGCTTAATTTGAGCAGGAGTTCAGTTCTACAGCGGCAAGAGCGCCATGGCTTAGTAATATGTATTTACAAGGCCAAGTTGAAAACTGTGGACGAAGTTGTTGTAATTGGGAGGGAAGCGGGGCGGACGAAGTCTGTGAAACACACGAGCAAAAAGGTCTGTGAAGAAAGTATTGACCTAAAAAGTGTAGGCAGTGCTCAGACTTTTTTGCTAGGCAGGTTTGCAGCTGAGATCTATGTGAGGCATCTACCTTCCCAGTCAGGATTGCTCTTCTGAGAACCCGCAATTTGCATGAAGGAAAAAGTGAGTTCGACTATGTAATACTAACGAAATCATTGCGACGAAATCATTGCGGAAACAGCTTTGTGGTTTTAATTTGCATATCCGTAAAAACATTTCAAACTCTATCTGTTGCCTGGGCATCTATTCAGTGTTCATGGTAAATAAACTACCTTACTTGGTCAGTAACCCAGGTGTCACCGAAATGCATCCAACGGACATCCACAGGCGAAAACCGGCTTTCCGGAGTGAGTTTCGCTTCCGTGACTATGGTTATTTTCATGGGAAAAACTAAGGATGACAGTATCAGAAACGTCGCAGGTCGAGGACTACCACTACTTCTCATAACGCTGCAACGCTTTGCATCACTCTGGAAATGCTACCTTCTTTGAATGGAAGTTAGCAAAGAAGAAAATCGCCTTTAAAAAGTGTTAACTAAGTGCGATTTCCTGCTTGGTGCATGGGAGGTCGGGAGCCGTTCAGGTGTTTAGTGGGCCAAGATCAATGGTTAATGCTGCACTGCGCTTACACCTACAGTAGCGCTCGAAAAAATTCGGCCAAACGCTTTCACGCTTTTTCGTTCATAACTTTTTTAAACTTTTTTCTTAGTGGAGCAAATGGCGCAAAATTTTGATATATTCAACTAAAGCATATTTCACACTGGCTAACACTATTTGACTGCGAAGCATCAAAATCCACATAGCTGAGAGCAGGGTGGTTTTTGCGGTAGCAGACTTCGTCTAAACAAAATTAGTGACGTCTTCGGTTATTTGCACCTTATGTGCGTTATACTTCTCGGCTGGGTTCGGTATTAGCGCTCGTATACTTTGGACAAGGCAAATAGAAAAGAAATACTAGAAGTACCAGTGTCCCTATTTCCAGTTGATTTCGAGTTCAAGCCCTTTGGTAATCTGGACGATCAGATTGCAGGATAGTAGTAAATATTCATGATACACCCATGCTACACATATTGGAATTTTGCATGATTACATCAAGCTAGAAAGGAGTTACGACTGAAAAGAAAAGTGAAACTGAAGAAGCATTTCGCCGAATACTCTTGAGCGCTACTGTATGTATGAAATGCCAGTTCTGAAACAACCCTGCGTAACTTGCTTCGTGAAATCACCAGAGATCCCATAGACCCACCCTTAGGGAAGCCAAAACGTGCGGTAGATATGCACAAATGTAAAAGTCCTTTGTTTTGCCGCGGTCTGTGTCGCGGTCTCCGCGACTGACTGTGCTGCATCTGAAGAGGGGGGGGGGGGGGGGGGGGGGTGGGCGTAAATCTGCGGATTGGGGAGTCTTAAATGGTAACACTTCCATGAGTTGCAAGAAATTTTTGTGAAAAATCCGCTCTATGCATACTAGCCTATTCTTTGTAAATAAAGCCTCGCAAGCTGAACTGCTATATCAGATAAGGGAGGGGTGGCGCTACTTCTCTCCAATTTCCAAGGCGAGCGGCAGTGGCCTCGCGGTAGCTATCGTTTCCTAGGACAGGACATTGGAACCCTTCCCTTCATAGTGCGCTATCAGGCGCCAGCGCGACGCGATTTCCAGGGAGAAGTACATACACCCTATCAGATACTATTCAAAAGCGTACAGGGGTTGCCCGGATGGATAGAATCAGTAAGGCCATATTTCACCCTGAGCAGTGCTCTAACATTTGGCATCAAGTGAATAAGTGTAGTAAAGGTGAAAACTGTCACTGCTGTGCGATTTATCGGCAAGTTTTTATTTATGTAATGTTCGCAAAAATTTACAGGTAGTCACCACCGAATAAAGAGTGTTCTCATGCCACTACAAAAATAGCCATGGCCTGAAGTGATATGGTCAGTTCCACATAAAGTAGATGAAGTTTCTTACCTTGCATATAGTCCTGGGCTTCCTTGAGCAAATCATCCGCTGTGGCCTCGTTCTTAACTAGCTGGTCTTCTTCCGCCTTTGTACTTTTGAGGTACTGCAAGAAAACACCTGTCCTCAGTTTCCTTTATTGGCGCACTCAGTTGAGTGTATAAATAAAATAAATAAATAAATAAATAAATAAAAACAAAGGCAATTAGTGGACTGTTTGCAATGTTTGAATTGCTGTCATTGAACTTGTTTCGACTTGTTTTTCTTTGTTAACTGCTGTGATGCAGCCGCATTACAAAAATCAACAAGTTAAAACAAGTAACAAGTAAGCAATGATGCGAGTAATATCCGAGACGGCGCGCTGGTACCTACCTCAATACCCACGATAAGCGACAATGGTTCCACGGTCACGACCATACCCTTCCCACTGGGATTCAAACCCTTGGATTCATAGTGAGTGTTTGCGCTTGATCGGGTACGGCGAGCAGGGCGCGATCATTGGTTAGAAGTTACCAAGTCCGTCAAGTCAAAAGGTTTGCCCACCTATCGCCAATCTTGTTGCCATGGATTTCGTTGATATCTTCAGGATTGTTTTGGTGGAAATGTAGCTGGTAGGGGAGGGGGGGGGGGACACCTTCCGAAAAGCATCGGTAAAGGTAAGTTGATGAATTCTACATGAAGCTGGAATGGCGAAAGCGGAAGAATTGAGTATCCAGTCAACCACTGGTTCATTCCTTCTCAAAATTGTTATCGGTAGGTGCTAGCATTCCGAGAGCATCATTACAGGCCCGCAGCGCTCTTTCCCAAGCCCTCCCTTCCCTGCGCTTTAGCGCCTGGCGCTGACGAGAAGCGGTGGCCGCGCCTACCCAACTACACTTTTACCCTTTTTGGCAACATAACAAGAACTTCTAAGAAAAAATGAAAGATGACCTATCGATGCTTTATTTCTTCGGCGCAACAATATAGGCACCCAAACGTTGCAGGGTTGCTCACAAGATTTTGTAACTGCAAATTTTCAGCCACTATTAAGGAGTTGCTTAGCGAGTTTACTTACTTATTTGTTCAGTTATTCATTTATTTACTCATTTATCTACCTTTAGCAGGTGATCTTTTATTTGTTTGGGAGGGGAGGGGCATTCGTTACCGGAACGTTGTCGGAGCCCTCTGATTGAGATGCTATCCCTACTGCCGATCCCCTTTCATTCCAGCTTTTCCTACTCTCTCCACCCGATGCAACTCTGTTTCGTAAGCTTGAAAGCACAATACACGATCATTATACGGTATTTAATTTTACGCGAGTACTGGAAAGATGGCCTAGAATTGCACCAAAACAAACAAGAAAACACGGGAATCGGTGTATTTGGAGAAGTACAAGGCTTTGAAAAGAAGTAGAATTGGGAAACGGACGAGAATGTGGCGAGAGAAGTTATATGGAAGTGGTATTTGTAAGCTGTTTAAAAGCGCGCTTCATTGCATAGAGCCAGCTGCAATGGCCTGCCTGCATGCAGGGTGTGGGTCCCGGTGCGAATGGTGCAACCTCTTCAGCTTTTACAACGCTTAGAAACTCGTTCGTCTTTGGGTGTACATCGGCCAAGCCGGTTTTGGGGCCTTATCTTAGGCGTTCTTCGATGGATCTTAGGGGATACGGGGTCATCCATAGGTGAAAACTCGGAAACAGTTTTCGACGTGAACTGTGCCTTCAAGCAAAAATTCTCTCCCTCTCGATAATCATAGGAATCACTTCTGAGCATCACAGGACTGCGAAGCCGGCGCCTCGTCCTCCTTTGCCCTCTAGACTTATTGTTAGCGGTAGACAAGGAACGCGTGGAGTGGGCATACCCATATTTCCACCTCTTCCCCCTCATGTATACCATACAATGGTAATGTAGAACTTTCAGGAATGCCCTCTCTTCTCTCACCCTTCAAGAAAAAAAAAAGAACAAAAATTTAAAGTAAACAGCTATGCGCCAGCTGTTCGTATGCATAAAAAGATCGGATCGATACATAGCTATGGCTAAGTTATTGAGCGACTGGATTAGACCATATAGTAGCATGCTACGTAAGTATTCAACAAAACAACGGATTGGGGTTAAGTATAAGGAAGGAAGGTATCAATAATTCGCCAATACTGTTGTTGCTTCATTGCCATCCTCATAAAATTAAATTGCCCTTATAAAAAGGGGCATTACCTCTTCCAATTTCTTCGCAGCTGCTGCTATGACACTACTCGTTGGTTCTGGTTGACCATCGTCCTGAATTGAATATCTTTCAGTGCAGAGATAATCGCACGACCTCTAATTTACAGATTTCCTTACCACTTGAACTACGCTAGACCTTTTTACTTCATAGTCGAATATCAAAACAGTGGGAATTTCAACAATAGTGGGATATTCGAAGGATTGTCCTGATTTTCTAACTTTTCTTCTATTTACCGACGGTCTCAATTCGGATTCGAAAAGTTTTACCGGACATACACTCCGTAAGCTGTGAGCGCTCCCTTTTGAAATTAGCTGCACTATTGAATTGTACTCGAAACTTGTCAAGAGACCAACCAAAGGTGGACCTTAAGCTTTGGCACCATTACTGAAATAGTCGGTGACTGAAGAAACATCAGCGCTAGGTTCAACTAACTGCTTTGAGCCCTTTCTTCAGATACATTTAATGAAAGGAAATGTTTTGCTAGTTCCTTTGCAAGCCAAAGCATCGATTTTTATTCGGCTACCGATGAGAAATAGAAGATTAAAACCGATGGATATGGCAGATTCCGATAGTGATACCAAACGAAAATCTCGCACGGCAAAAAACGAGGGAAGGTCTGAGACTTTTCTCAGAAGTCTCCGGTGCCTCAGGCAGTGCACTGGGAAAAAAAGAGAGGACCTAATTTGCGGACCATTCCTCACTTGGATGGGAAGGACTGATGTTTCTTGAATGTTCCTCTTATCACCGAACAGAGTCAGATCTTGAACGAAATGGAGGCTGAACAAATCTCATTTGGAAGTGGTAATGGCAATAAAATAGCGGCAAAATGGAACGAGATTCAGTTTGAAATAGTTCAAAATCATAGCCGTCGACAAGACTTTTCGGTTCTGCGCTTTGGGAGTTGGGTAACTTTTTGCGCTGAGCTCCCCCATAAAGACCATCGGGATTGCTCTACAGTCAAAAACCTACGCAAAATATAATATTTGAAAAAAAATTGCTGTCACCTTTTTCTTGCTTGATTTTCCTTTATCATTACTGACTTCTACCATACGATAAAAGAAGACAACAAAAGCGACAGCAGCGGTGCTGAGAATAAGCCTTGTGAAGAACGAGAACACCACGATATGCTCCTTGACCGGGCATTCTTCCCACTCGTCAGGGTCATAGCCCAGGCTCGCATCGTAAACCATTAGCACCTGAAATAACGGATGTTTGCTTCTCTTCTCAGCAGAATTTCCTTGAAATATGTGGTTTCAACAAGGAAGGTTAGATAGAGAGATAGAAGAAGGAACTTTGCTAACGAATTGACAGTTACCACAAACCTTGAAAATCACTACTCTACTTGTTTGCAACAATATTTCGATGATTGCGCCCCTTTGTTACATATTACCAAAAAATCTTACAAAAAGAGAGTAAAATAACTGGAAAAGAGAGCGAGCCAAAGGACAAAAAAGGATTGGAGGGTATTTCAAATGAGTGGAGAAAGGGACAAAAATAGGGAAGGGTAGCGTCTCGTTTTTGATAATCAGAGCTCACTGATGAGGTTTCTCGTCAAAACAGGCTCAGTAGGAAATCAAATCAGAGATGAGTGCCTATAGGCGAAAGAAACTGTCTACAAGGATTTTAATTTTTCTTGTGCTAGGAATGACTAGCTCAGATGCATAGCTCTCCGTCGTTTTCACGTTTCGTTCGAACTCTACTTCTGTTCATATCTTCTAATATCCAGGGTGGAGAAAGACTGGTAATTTATGAAAATTGCAACTCTAGAGGAGTTGACCAATTTTCTCCGTGTGAATTATGAAAAATATGTTGTGGATGTTACGGATTTTGAAACAGAGAGACTCCTATCTTACTCTAGCAACGGTTGATTCGCATTTGAGGGTTACGTGAAATAGTTGCAAAGAAATTCATTTTTCTTTGTTAAACATAGCAAATCCATTTTATCTATTTATTTTGTTGCTCAGTGTTCATGTTTGAATTGTTGCCATGTTCGATCTCGACGGTCTAAAAAGAGACTTCAAGGTTGGTTAGGTGAGTTTTTTTTTTACCCTAAAAGGTTAGGGTATATCGCCAACCTTATGAGACTTTTGCAACGTGTACTGTGGCGATAAAACAGCGCTCAACAAAAGATCAAGTCTCTAGAGTGAAATTTCCCTATGCCCTCCGAAGAAAAATTTTAATGATTCCAAAAAAAAAAGCAGACTCGATTATTACATAGGAAAGTTAGCCTAACGGGGTGATTTTGATCAAACTTGTCTTCACGGCCTACATACCACCCTTTTCGATTCCATGGCGCTTGCTTCGAATACAATATTAGACGCCTCACGAAAAGAATGGAGCAGAACCCTTCTGGACAACTGGTTTTCAATACATCCGCTGTTGGCGTATGGTACAGGGACCATGCACTCATAATAACACCGAAGAAAAGGTCAGGAGTAGCGCTGCTTCTGTCCCGCAGTCCATCATTTGGTCATATGAAACATTGAAACGTATGGCTAAAAAGAAGGCTCTGCAGAGGGAGGTAGTGGGTAGAACTTCTATTCACTCCGCTTCTATTGCTCCGTTCAAATAGATAGAGCTAAGTATTTATTCAGAAGCGTGCACAGTTCATTTAGATAGAGTACCGCTCAAAAGTATTCGGCCAAATGCTTCTTTAGTAGTACTTTTTAGTCGTAACTCCTTTCCTACTAGATCTTATCACGCGAAATTTCAATATGTGTAGCATGGGTGTAGTGTGAATATTTACNNNTTGCACATGGCAATGATTATGGATTGCTAGTTACCTTGAGAATTCGTTCTAGTAGGATTGGATTAGGTAGTCTCAANAAATTTCAATATGTGTAGCATGGGTGTAGTGTGAATATTTACCACTATTAAACTGCGATCTGATCATGTTCCAGATATCCCAAACAGCTCGAAATCGAAACCAACTGGAAATACAGACGTTGGTGCTTCTAGGACTTCTTTCCTTTTTGCCATGTCCATAGTGTACGAGCACTCATGCCGAACTCAGTAGAGGAGAAAAACGCACATAAGGTGCGAATAACTGCAGACTCACCTCGCTTTCAGCATAGTCTACAAACGCCCTCCCCTTAGTTATGTGGACACTGCAAATAGTTTTGGACAGTGTGAAATATGCTTCAGTAAACATATCAGAATTACATGCGAATTGCTCCACTGAGAAAAAAGTTACGGCCAAAAAAACTTGGTGGAATACTTTTGAGCGCTGCTGTAGATCGCACATATTGAATCTTCAAATCATTGAGAGCTTTTAGGTTGGTAGTTCAAAAAATCTATTCGCCCATCGAACGCGGTTTAAATTCGACACTCCCGCATAATTATAGATAGCACCTCCGATTTATCCCGTCCGCTTGAAATCCTCGCCTAGATGCAGTCGGTGCAGAGGAGGAAAGCATATTACAACGTGAAACCATGGCACACTTGCACATGGCAATGATTATGGATTGCTAGTTACCTTGGGAATTCATTCTAGTAGGATCGGATTAGGTAATCACAAAGTTACCCTTACCTACCCTGAAGTATTCTCATCTACATAGCACTCTCTCTAGACGTGGAACGGATGTAGGAATAAGTGGGTTGGATCTTGGTTTGTCGCCTCGGGGCAAACATCGTGCTTTTTCTGATCACATTCTTTATGAGCGTCAAACAAAAAAGCCAAGTAAGGGTAAAGAGAATTATTAAAGGGGAAATCTCCAAGTTAAGATCACGATCCAAAGTTTCTTGAAAGAGCGCTTCAAAGGTATTAGGTTGGTAAGCCTCTTGTATCCGAATGAGCCTAAGCCATATATACTTTCCTACACCGCCCCCTTTCACGAGTGAATGGTCCTGGAAATATGTACGTCTCCTGTTCGGCTACTGTACAAAGCGCACTTCTATAGCAAAAATCTCGAAGGTGTCGACGGTACCAACATTTCACGATGCGAGTAATCGAAATTTNTTTGTTCCAGTAACAGCCAAAGTAATTCATATAAATCATTAATTGGCACTTGTAAAAATACTCCCTCAAGCCTCCGAGACTTCCAAAAACAGTTAACTTAGTTTCACCTTGGGAAAAAAAGATCAAGTACAAGTCGTAGTCAGCCAGACCTGCTGAAGTGATTTCGGTAAAAGAAGACGCGGATGTGCAGAATCAGAGAACTGGCCAGATTTCGCTTGAAAAATTGCAGCAGAAGTCAATTCTTGGCTGGGAACTGCCCTACATGACAACAACGGTCTGAAGATGGCCATGGCTCATTTCATTCCCAAAACAGTTCCTCTGTCCATTCTAAGGCAAAAAGGTTTTCTAGCATTTTTACGACGGGAGGTCGCCAAGGTAGTGTCTTGTGACGAAGTGTGGCTGTACATTGACAACTCCGAACCTCAACAGCAAAGGAGGGAGCGATAGTATATCAGTTCTTTGAAAGTAAGTGGGCCTCCTTCAGAGACGTGAAAGGAACATGTCACCAGCAACGACATACGGTACGTTAGCATGGAAAGCAAGTTTCGTGGATCTCAGCAAAATGTACCTGAGTCCTAGTTCGTGACACTCCTCATCTCATGCTTTTCCTTCCATTGGCTGCTACTTCAGAATGAGAAAAACCGATCAATAAGACGATCTAGAAGTTCACACAAAGTCGACAATAGCTGACCGGCTCATCATGTTGCATGGGCAAAGGTTGATAAGCTAGGGTATCTATGCCATTTATAAGGCAAGCGGGCCTTGGTAGAGTTACGGATGAAAGCACGGTCCCCTGGAAGCACAAGTACGGGTTTGAGTCTCCTCCGAAGCCAAAGTTTTGCACAAAACTTGCCTACTTATGTCAAAACTGTGTCAAGCCTAATAGATATGATTGATTTCAATGAGATTTCGCCTTTCTACGGTCAAGGGATATGTACAAATCTCATTTTAGTTTCACATGACGCACTGACAGGGACTTCTCGCCATTAGTCTACCCACTGATTTCAGTACGATCTCAGTCACAAGCGTCCCCACTACTCCGAACACTTTGTTGAACTAGTGTCGAAAACAATGGAAGAACAACCAAATTGAAGAAAAGGGCGAATAAATTTCCCTGTCAATAGAAGAGCAGAACGAATAAATGAACACAAGTTACACATCACTTTGTAGTATAGCCCAAGAATTACTGAAAGCTTAGTGGAAATGGCCAGGGAAATAAAGAACAAGTATGTTGTTTTACTGCGTGTTACACTGCGCCAGCTGTGGCTCCCAATGAGACATCTTACTTGAATATCGGGGAATGTGTGTCATTTCATTCCTTATTCTCCCTTTTCTTTACATTTCTAGTTGTAGTTTCATACTTTCCTGTGACTGGTAAATGCACTGATGCACATCAAGTCAAAGAGATAGGTCCCCAATTTCGATGTTGTTTCCCTCAAGATCGCTTAATGAAATACCCACTTCACGTTCTTTTGAGCACCAAAGCCTTGTGTGGGGGACAATGTCAAGGAGTATTGTATCAACTGTAGGGAAGGCTAAACATGTCAGATAAAGGGCATAGTTTACATGGGACTTTTTGAAAGAAACGGTATTTACGTCGAAGGAACAAAAAGGACCGTTAGCAGAAGATGGATGATGAACAAAAGAAATTATGCGCAGCTCACAAAACAAAACTATGCACAGCACTAGAACTCTCGAAAACCCATTACCGAGAAGCTGCCCATACGAGAACGTTAAAAAATATTACATACATGTTTTACATATAATTTCAGAAAATCTACGCAAGGAAGGGATGTGGAATGGGCTCTTCTTGAGGCTACTTTTTCTTCTTTCAGATTTTATTCTCATTTTTGTTGACAGGAACTGCCTCAGAGTTCTGATTTTATATTGTATGGCACACAAATGGTTGTATTCAAGTAGATAAATAATTAAATAAATAGAAATTAGAAGTTCACTGACACCCCAATCAGGGACAAGAAGAAAGTAGTGAAGGGTGAAGGACACAACGATTGATCAGATCGCAATACATATAGGAACCCGAAATTGGGAAATAGGAGCCTGTCGCAGTCCTTGTACAAATACTAATAATATTCAAAAAATATCAAATCTATCTCATTTCTTCAGTAACTTCTCTTCAGACACAAACACTACCAAGAATTCCTCAATCCCTGAAACAATCAGTGAAGTCTTCTCTCGGGATAGACTTTGAACCTCTCCATATCCGTCTCCTCA